CCAGCATCTGCAGTTCCTACTATCTCTGCCAATTTTCCATGCCTGAAATTGATAGCAATGCCTCTCTGACTTTCACACAGGTTGTAGTAAATCGCAATGTAGCTCCGGCATTTTCCTTTGGCATCAGGCATTCAGAGTACCTGACACCAGTTATCGTCAATACTGTGTAACAATGCAAGTTCCTCATTACTTATAAAATGTTTTAAGACAATTGTATACAATTTGCTGTATTCTGATCTAAGTTCCATCCCTTTGAAAAATTTCTGCTCTAGTTGAAGAAGTTACCGCATCTTTTGTATTACATTTCAAACATTTTGTGGATACTGTTTAGGTCATGTATTCTTTTAAAAGAAACAAAAACAGCTACCAGGTGATGGAGTCTGTGTTTGTGATTCCCCCACACTATGATGGGATGTGGGTCTGTTCTGTGACTCTTTCATACTATGTTGGGAAGTGGGTTTGTCTGTGATTCTCCCATGAGTTTGTATCTATGTTTTCCCCAAACAATGATGGGAAGCACGTCTGTGTCTACGATTCACACATATTCATGCTTATTCGCGCATTATTCATGCTGCTCTGAGTTGCAAAGTACAATCAGACACTTTCACAGAGGAGTAAAATAAATGATAGAGCAAATCGTTGAACTAAGTTGGATAAACATTTTATGTGTGTGGACTTTTGACAAAAGACCAATCTGAAATATTAACTCTGGAGAGAAAAACGCTGCTACTGCCTGACCTGCTAAGTACTTCCGGCATTTACTTTTTTTTAATTTCAGACTTCCAGTATCTGTCCCATATTTTACTTTTAATTTGCTAGATTTTAAAAGTTCCTTGATACGAGCAATGCAGAAGTCAGAATAAATCCGTTAGAATTTCTGATGAAGGGTCCAGGCCCGAAACGTCAGCCTTTCTGCTCCTATGATGCTGCTTGGCCTGCTGTGTTCATCCAGCTTTGCATCTTTTGTCATAAATCCGTCTGATTCATTTTATAGCATGTGCTGGGGAGGAGTAGCCGTGAACACTCATTCAATCAAATTCACAGACTGGAGGCCAGGCAAAGGACAGAGCAGTCAGTCACAGACCACATATAGAGGCCTTTCTATCAAAGTAGAGCTGTGCTACAATCTTCAACATCTGTGAATTAGCCCAAGAAATACTATTATCCAGCACTGCCCCTAAATATGATAGAATTTGTGCACTGGTAAACTGCATTTCCTCAAGTGACATAAGATTCTAACTGGCACATCAACAAGTTACACTGGTCTAATGTTTCTTACCACGGTTTACTCACTGAAGCAAAACTGATCAGGATATTTGAAACTGAGTTGTATTCTGCAATGTGTTGGATTGCAAATGAAAGTCAAACCTCTGAATTAAAGGAATAGTTTAATTGCAATACCGTGAACTGTTGAATAAACCATTTAATAAGATCTTTTCTGTCTCAATTACTTTTTTTGTGGTTTTGTTACGACACAGAGACTAAATCAGCCTCTCTACCTCTGTATTCACAACACAGTAAAATTAAAAGCTTGAAAGATGCACAAAATTGACTCCAATGGTTTCTAATCAGACTATTAAATAACCAATCAGACTCCGCGAGTAATTAATTCCAGACACGGGATTGTTTCGTAAATAAAAGACTTAGCAATGTATTAACAATATAATAACTTTGACAGAGCAAAAATTAAATGACAAAGTAATCTAGCTGATCTATGCTTTAAACCCAATAACTTTTGCTTTCAGCCCCATTCACTCAAAAGATAGGCAGACAAACACAGTTAAGAGATAAATAAAACAAAATAATAAAACTGGACAGATTGCTTAAGTGGTTTTCATGATGCTTTGTTCCACAGGCATAGATGATGGTTTCTTCGTTGATTTTCTAAAGATATCAATGAGAATTGCCTTTTCAATTCACTCAGATAAAGGCAGTAATACTTATAGTATTCTATTCTCTGAGCTTCCAAGAGCAGCTCATGGGAGGTTAGGCACAGCACTTTCAAATCTCCATGCTGTAGCATCAACAGCCAGATCCTTTATCTTCCCAAAAAAAACAATTCCAACACTCAGCTAGGGTTCTGGGGAGCATTGCTGAACAAACAGATCTTGGAGTGCAGGTTCATAGGTCCTTGAAAGTGGAATCGCAGGTAGACAGGATAGTGAAGAAGGCGTTTGGTATGCTTGCTTTTATTGGTGAGTGCATTTAAGTATAGGAGTTGGGAGGTCATGTTGTAGCTCTACAGGACATTAATTAGACCACTTTTGGATTACGGTGTGCAATTCTGGTCTCCCAGCTATAGGAAGAATATCGTGAAACTTGAAAAGGTTCAGAAAAGATTTACAAGGATGTTGCCAGGGTTGGAGGCTTTGAGCTAAAGGGAGAGGCTGAACAAGCTGGGGCTAAGTTCCCTGGAGCATCAGAGCCTGAGGGCTGACCTTATAGAAGTTTATAAAATCATGAGGGGCATACATAGGGTGAATAGACAAGGTCTTTCCCCAGGGTCAGGGAGTCCAAAACTAGAGGGCATAGGTTTAAGGTGGGAGGGGAAAGATTTAAAAGGGACCTAAGGGGCAACTTTTTCATGCAGGGGTGGTGTGTGTAAGGAATGAGATGCCACAGGAAGTGGTGGAGGCTGGTACAATTACATAATTTAAAAGGCATCAGGATGTGCATATGAATAGGAAGGGTTTAGTGGGATATGGGCCAAATGCTGGCAAATGGGACTAGATTAATTTAGGATATCTGATCAGCATAGACGAGATAGACCGAAGGGTCTGTTTCCATGCTGTACATCTCTATGACTCTAATTCAAACTCTGATCACTCCGTGACAGACTGACTGACTCCTCCACAAGGTCCCAGTTACTGTTTAACATCTACCATCAGCTTGGCCATAAGGTCTTTTCCAATCTTGCTGGAACCAATTCCCAGGTACTGACCTTGTTAATATCCAACTTATGCTATGTGTTTAAACATAATGCACTTCTCAGATGACAAAATGGCTACAAAACTTTTTGATGAGGAACCGACCTGCAATTAACTTCCAGGCCTGGCCTCCTGAATAAACAAAAGCTCTTTTGGTCTGATTTCCTTTTAACACAAGCTGTTACCAACAGTCCAAAAGTCATTTTTAGCTCACAGTTCCCTGTTTACAGCTCTGAACCAAAATTGATAGAATAAAATATAAATAACAAAAAATCAGCAAGGGTTCTAACATTTTGAAATTCTTATCCAAGGACAAGGATCTGAGACAAGGAAGTGTAAATTGTCCCAGAGACGAAAATCGAAAAGTCAACATGTGATTTGATTTATTTATTGTCACCTCCCTAAGTACAGTGAAAAGCTTTGTTTACAAGTAGTACAGGCAGATCATAGTAAGCAAGGACATAAAGATCATAGGGAGAAAAAAAACTTAGGCAGAGGCATACAGGTTATGTCGCACAGGGTGTGTGCTAGGCAAGATCAACATTATTTGAAGTTAGAGAGTCCATTCATCACTCTAATAACAGCAGGGAATAAGCTGTTCATGAACCTGTTGCTGCATGTGTTCAAGCTTCTGTATCTTCTGTCAGATGGAAGTGGTTGTGGGAGAGCATTATCGGGGTGTGATGGGTCTTTGATAATTTTGGCAGCTGTTCCATGGCAACGAGCCATATAGAGTGCATGGATAAAAGGCTGGCTTCCATGATGGTCTGGGCTGTGCACACAACCTTCTGCAGTTTCTTATGGTGCTGGGCACAGCAGTCACCATACTAGGCTGTCATGCAACCGGACAGTATACTTTCAGTAGTGCATCTGTAGAAGTTGGAGAGGGAACTTATGGACATGCCACATTGCCTGAGCTGCCTGAGGAAGAAGAAGCATTGTTGTGTCTTCTTGACCATTGCGGCTACATGGGAAGTCCAGAACAGGTTATCAGTTATCGTCACTCTTAGGAACTTGATGCTCAACTCCTCAACTTCAGCTCCATTGATGTAGATGGGAGCATGTTCTCCTCCCTTCTTTCTGAAGTCAATGATCAGTTCTTTGGTTTTGCTGACGTTGAGAGAGGTTGCTCTCACGGCACCACGTCACCAAGCCCACTAACTCCTTTCTGTATTTTGACTCATTGTTAGATGTCCGTCCTACCACGGTGATATCGCCAGCAAACTTGTTGATGGCATTCATTTGGAATTCGGCAACAGTCGTGGGTATACAGGGAGTGCAGTAGGGATCTGAGCATGCATCACTGGGGGGCTCCAGTGTTGACTGTTATTGTGGAGGAGTTGCAGTTGTCTTTCTTCACTGATTGCTGTCTGTGGGTCAGAAAGCTGAGGATCCAGTTGCAGAGGGCAGAGCCAAGACCAAGGTCTCCGCCTTTTGAGATCAATCTGGAAAAGATAATGGTGTTGAATGTGGAGCTGAAGTCAATGAGCAGGAGTTGGTCGTAGGTGTATTTATTGCCCAGATGTTCCAGGGAGGAGTGCAGAGCTAGGGAAATGACATCCACTGTGGATCTGTTACATTGGTAGGCAAATTGTAGGGAATCGAGGTAGGCTGGGAGACATGAGTTGATGTGGGCCATGATCAGCCTCTTGAAGCACTTCATGATTATGGACGTCAGAGCTACTGGGCTGTAGTCATTAAGGCAACGTGGAGAAACCAGATCTAATTCACAACGCATTGATAGATATCACAAGATTGTTTGACTACAAAGATCAAGACCAACCCACTTACTAAACAAGGCATTCAGCTCTAGCTACCAGCATCATATCAGAGGTTTGCAGCCATGATGTGAATAAGGCTGGTCCAGTTAAGCAACAAATCAATGGTAACCTTTGCCCAGAAGTTGACCACATATTGCTGTCATGAAGAAATTATGAATGAAACTGAATGTGTTTAGCAGGAAGCAGGAGGAGACAGATTCGCTGATAGGTTGGACACATGCATAGCTTTTGTGAAAACTACCGGAATGGTAGAGATGTGAAGAGGTACAGTGGAAAAAAAAATCAAAGGTAAAGAAAGTTGAAAGTTATTCCACTAATATTGAGATGGGGTGGGGACACAAGAAGTTTAAAATCAAAGGAATTGAGCACTCAGTAATGCTTCTCAGACTGGAGGAGCTGTAAGTTAGGGAGGGTTGAATGAGTTACAGATGATTGTTTTAAATCTAACAGGTTGCAGTGTTTCTATTATTCCAAGCGACAGGAAGAGGCTGAACATGTTTCAGTGTGTTGGAGCCAGGTACAATTCTTCGGAGGGAGGAGAGTGGGTGATAAACAAGGAAGGCTCTGGAATCTTCAAGGTGATCGCCATCAGAAGAATGTGACAAGTTGATATATAAATGGGAGCAGATACTTTGTCATAGTAACATGTTTTTGATGTTAAAGATGCTGTAGAAAAACCACGGTATAAACCCTAAACATTCTGAAGCTATTCAGTTGTTCTCTTTATGGTTAAGCTTGATTGTCTATTACAGGATTCTAGTTTTGAAGCACAATTCAACAGCAAGCTATCAAATTAATCAACATCCAACCTATATACCCCGCTCACACACTTCCTTTATGGACTATCATTGGAAGTAATTAAAGGCAAATAGCAGCAAACTCCAGATTACACCCACAACTCCCCTCACTCTCAGCCCACTCCTCTATCATTCCATAACCACCTTCTCACAACATGCACCCCACATTCCCCCACTGACACTATTTCAGCAATCAATGTGTGTCTGAATCACATCCATTTCCTTCAGTGTTACATAGGAAGGAACTGTCACAAGGGTCAATTTCCTAACTATCTGGTGAGTTTGTGTAGCCTGAACTAGTATCCTGCACAAGGTTTACCCAAAGTTTTTGAGAAGACTTGTAGCTTGGGTTGTGGATGAGGTTGTTGCTTTGTTGGCTGAGCTGGTGGATTGGTTTCAGAAATAGAGCCCACGTACCAACCGCTGTGAAGCAGAATCGGAAAAGGAGGCCAACCACCACATCAGACTGGACCACTAAATAACAAGTGGGACAGACCAACGACGCTTCATTGGAGGCGCACTGATGATGTTACCTAGTATGGTGATGAAATGTCTGCAAACCAATCCACCAGCTCGGCCAAGAAGAGTTTCCTTTACTATACCTTGCAAAGAATCAATGCTGGAAAATGTTAAAGGTGCAGAACTGTTGTGTTGTTGCTGATTCCACCAGTTTTCAATTGACAAAAGGATAGGAGTCAGGAGAGAGAACTGCTTCTGTTATAGGAGTGATAAACCTCGGATAGCCAGTCAATGTCCAGATATTTTTCTGTTACTAATGGCAAATGTTTAATTAAGTTCCAAGCTCTCAATGTTTGATAAACTTCAAAACTAACTATTTCAAATAACAATCTCCTGAGAAATTGTCACATGGTCACGAGAAATGTAATTCTTTGTGGAATCAGAATAGCTACCCCACAAACTGAAGCCATTCAACTGATGTCCATGCAGTTTTCTGCAAGTGCAATTTACATGGTTCCAGTCTTATTTTTAATATGATACAACCTAGCACATAATCTCGTTTCCCAGTTGTTGTTAGTTTAGCAAATATTTAAAACAACAAAAACAGAAGTTGCTTGAAATGCTCAGCAGGTCTGGCAGCATCTGCTGAGAGAAATCAGAGTTAACGTTTCGGGTTCAGTGACCCTTCCCCAAAACTGATGGTGGCTAGGAAAGGTTGTTTTTTTCTGCAGGAGGTAGGGTGGGGTAGGGGATAAAGAATAAATGATAGGTCGAGTTAGAGCCAAGGAGACAGAAGAACAACTGACAGCCAAAGGAGTGGATAACAATTAGTCTAGGAGAATGAATAGCTATTAATGGAGACTATCAATGGCTAACAATGAGTTGTATGTGACCATGTGATAACAAGGCCTGCAGTGTGGAGGTTGAGGTAGGGACATGAGACAAGGTGCCTCAAGCACTAAAATTGTTAAACTCAATATTGAATCCAGAAGGCTACAGGGTCCCCAAGTGGAAATTGAGATGCTGTTTTTCCAGCTTGCGCTGAGCTTCGCTGGAGCACTGCAGCAAGCCTGAGACAGAGATGTTGGCCAGTGAACAAGGTCGTGTGTTGAAGTGGCAGGCAACTGGAAACTCAGGGGTTTTTTTTGCCTTCCACTTCAACATATAGAAATCTTACAGCAATTGTATTGTGCCTTAGTCAGAGAATACCTGGCATAATGTGCATATTTTTGGCCTCCATTCGCAAGGAAAGACATTAATTCAATAGAAGTGCAACAAAGCCAATTGCCAGCTCATATATGGCTGAAAGAGAATGGGCTCAACAAGGTCACAGCTGCCAGCGTATGTAACTGAGCAAAATAAGGCAGGTAAACTTGATATAAAATAAACAATATACACAATCACAAGTTTAAAAAGTTTAGGTGATCAATATTTATTCTGACGAAAATGAAAACAACACTAACAATTCACGATCTTCACATACTTCACAACTACAAGTTAAGCAAAAAAAAAAGAATTTTGAAAATAAGCCCTCAAACTCAAAGATTAAATCAATAAATGATCATCATCTTGGGAATTAATTATACAAAACATCCTTTGCAAAATTTAAATTATGTCATGAAGCAATAAATCTACAGCATCCTTTTGTTAATAAGTTTTAAAAATTAGCTTTATTTGATTTGAATGGAAGTTCCAATTTATCCTCATTTCAACTGAGGGGTGAGGTTCTACCCAGCTTAATGTTTGCACTCTTACTGATAATTGGTCCAGTTTCTGCATCAATGCATGTATGAATTTCACGTGACAAGCATTATAGTGTCATATAATATCATGTTCTCTCATCACTCCCTGAAACCTCATTTTCATCACTGATTACCAGGCTGATCGAGGAAGCGTCTTGAAATCTTGCTTTGTGAAGAAACTTTGGTGCAAAGGCAAGGGCAGTCAGTCTTTTTGGCTATATCCAAAAGGAAGTTTGGCAAGTATTCTCTGGTCACTGGATCTGTTCCTCATCATACTGTTTGACTGTAAAAAGATCAAGTCTGAAGCCTTGTGACAAGGAAATACAGGATGAAGAAAAGGAGGACCAGCCCAACAGACATATAGCACAACAGTTTCTTGTTGTCCCGACCAGATTTCACCATCGAGGAAAATCTCTTCACACTTCCCGTCAGAAGTCCAGTAGCACTCAAAAAATCAGAATCCTGCCACAGAGTCAAATAAAAAACCTTTAAGATTAAAAAAGAAACTTCTCACACCTAACTAACACAAACTAAATCTAGATTTGAACAATGCTCTGATATCTGAAGCTTCGGTGAACACATCTCAGTCCCCTTTGCTGTCTTAACTCTCTCTGGCCTCTCATCTTGGTCTTCCCCACTTTCTCCTTCACGAACAATACCAAGGGCAGTGGTGCTCCATGCTACTGAGCACCTTCTCAAGTCATTGCAACACAGGAATACAATTTATCCCTTGGACCATCTTCATGTAACAATTCCAAAAGCTTTTGAAGATATTCTTTTCCAAATATTTTTCACATCACATTTGTAAGCTATGCTGGATTCAGCTTCTTTTACTGTTTCTGTTCATACAATCCAGGCCCTTTGGTCCACCATATCTGTGCCAACCCTGATGCCAATCTAAACTAATTCCATTTGCCTCCATATGGTCTGCATCCCTCTATTCTTTGCCTGTTCATTTGTCTGTCCAAATGCCTCTTAAACTTTCCTAACATTGTTGCTTCTATCATCTCACTGTGACAGTGCATTCCAGAAACCTCTGTGTAAAAAATATTCCTCGCATGTCTCCTTGCCCCGCTCACCTTAAACATATGTCTGAGTATTTGACATTTCCACCATAGGAAAGAGACTCTGACTATCCACCCTATTCTCGCCTCTCATAAATTTTATATACTTCTATCAGGTCGTTCCTCAGCTTCCAATGCTGTAGTGAAAACAATCTAAGTTTGTCCAACCTGTCCTTATAGTTAATGCAGGCAATATCTTTGCAAATGTCTTCTGCACCCTCTCCAAAGCTTCCACATCCTTCCTATAAAGTGATGACCAGAATTGCACATAGTACTTCCAAATGTGGCCTGACTAAATTCTTATACAGTTGCAACATGACTTGCCAACTTTTATGCTCAATGCCGTGACCAATGAAGGTAAGCATGCCATATGCCTTCTTTACCACCTTATCCACTTGTGTTACCACCTTCAGGCAACAATGGACTTGGACCCCATGATTCCGCTGTCTATCAATGTTCCTAAAGATCCGACCATTTACAATATACTTTCCTCTTGCATCACCTCATACTTGGCCAGGTTAAACCCCTGCTGCATCCTGAAATGTCCCACACAAACAAACAATAGAGGTGCAACACCACTGGTCACAGACCTCCAGTGAGAAAAACACCTCTCTACAACTACCCTTTGTCGTCTATGGCCAAGCTAATTTTGTATCCAACTTGCCAACCAACTCTCTTGCTCTTAATATTCAGGTAGTTCTCCTATAACACGAGAGTTGTGTTCTTATGTGACATTGTGCTATAGAAAATCTCACTACAGAAAACCATCATCAAAAATCGTGTTATAGGGAAATCACTATACAAAATTGCCATACTTGTACTGCAGGAAGTTTGCGTTATCCAAACAGCATCCACTATTCATCAATCAGGTTACAGCCAATTTGCATTCATGAAACACGTATCATAGCAGAACTACCTGTATGCATAAAATGCCTTGGATTCTCCTGAAACATACTTGCCAAGGACACTTCATGGCCCTACTAGCCCTCCTAATTTCTATTTTAAGTTCTTTTCTACCTTATACTTCACAAGGTCCTGTTTGATTTCTGTATCCTAAAACTTACAATGCTTCCTTTTTTTTCCTAAACTAAACTTACAACATCTCTCTTCATCCAAGGTTTCTGAACCTTGCCATCCTTATCTTTCATGCTCACAGGAACATATTGGTCCTGAACTCTTGTCAACTGGTTTAAAAAACTCCATGTCAGATGTAGATTTACCTTCAAACAACTGCCCAATTTAATTTTTTCCAGTTCCTGCCTAATACTGTTGTAATTAGCCTTCCCCAATTTACCACTTTCACCTGAGGACCAGTTTTATCCTTTTCCATTACTAACTTAAAACTTACAGAATTAAATGATTATTGTTCCCAAAATGCTCTCCCACTGAAAATTTGATTACCTGGCCAGATTCATTCCCCAATTCAAGGTTAATACAACCCCTTCCCCAGTTGGACTTATTGTTTCATGAATCCCTCCTGGATGCACCTAACAAATTCTGCCCCATCTAAACCCCTAGCACTGAGGGAGTCCCAATAAATACGGGGGGGGGGGGGGGGAAGAGTTAAAATCACCCAAGACAACAAACCAGTTGTTTTTACATCTTGCCATGATCTGCTTACAAATCTGTTCCTCTATTCCCCACTGGTTATTGGGAAGCCTATAGTATAATTCCATCATAGTGATTGCACCTTTCATATTGCTAAATTTTACTCATCGGGCCTCATTGGATGAACCCTCCAACATGTCCTCTCTTAGTACAGCTGTGAAACTCTCCTTAAATCAGTGATGCAACTCCACCCCAACCCCTGTTACATCCCTCTCTATCTCACCTGAAACATCTAAACCCTGGAATGTTGAGCTGCCAATCCTGCCCTTCTCTCAACCAAGTTTCTATACTGGCTACCACATCGTAGTCCTATGTAATTACCAAGACTATCAGCTCATCTGCTTTATCTGTTATACTCGTGCATTAAAATAAATACACTTCAGCCAACTAGTCCCACCATTTTCATTAACCTGGCCCTGCCTGTTCTTTCTACTTGACTTACTTGAGTTAGCTTCTCTCTTCTCTTCAATCACACCACATGCTGACCTACTGCTCTGGTTCCCACCCCACACACCCCCAACCACCTGCTACATCAGTTTAAACGTCCCGACTGGCTCTAGCAAACTTCCCTGCAAGGATATTGGTGCACCTTCAGTTTAGGTGGTACCCATTCTACTTATACAGGTCCCACCTGCCCTGGAAGAGATCCAGATATCTGAAGCCTTCCATCATACAACAGATCTTTAGTCATTCGTTAAACTGTATTATCTTCCTATTTCTGGCCTCACTAGCATGTGGCACAGGGAGTAATTCACAGATTACAACTCAGTGTTCTGCTTTTCAACTCCCTACCTTTCTCCTTAAATTCTCTTTGCAGGATCTCATTTCTCTTCCTGCCAAGTCATTAGTACCAACATGGGCCATAACATCTGGCTGCTCACCCTCCCCTTTCATGCACGCTCAGAGCCATCCTAGGCCCTGGCTCTAGGAAGGCAACACACTATCCTGGAGTCTCGCTCACAGCCACAGAAATGCCTATTTGTGTCCCTGACAATACAGTCCCCGATCATTACTGCTTGCCTACACTTCGACTCTCCCTGCTGTACAGCTGTTGGTGCAGTTCTACAGAATTGCATCTAGTTTCTCAGCTTAGTGCTTAGTTTGGTAATCTCAATAAAACATTGTTTACTCCATTTTAGAAATAATCAATGAAGCTTGTTTGGACTCACCATGCCATCCAGATATCTATTCTGGTCACTAGCTTCCTGGTCAATGTCCAGAGCAATCTGCTTGAACAGAGAATTGATTAAAATTAACAAGGTACAAACATGGGCCACTGCTACAGGGGAATCATTAAAATCTAATACTAGACACACAATCACTGAAAACCGCAACAGAGGTCAGCTGTGTTCAGAGGTTGTACTCTTTCTTCATAGTCAGAAGTTTGAGTTCAAGCCTCAGGAAGCCATAAACACAAAATCTATTTTTGTGCTGGTGTGCCTTCCTAGAGGGTGCACTGCATTGACAGAGGGTCTGTTTTGAGGGGGTGTTGCACTGTTGGACAGTCAATACTTGGGAGTGCTGCATTGTAGGATGGGGAGCACTAAGGGAGGGGCACACTTTTGGAAGATCAATACTGAGGGAATGTCACACTGTTAGAGAGGCAATACTGAGGAATTATCGCACTGTCAGAGATGTAGATTGGCAGGAGTGCTGTACTATTGGATGGAAGTTGAACAGAACATTGCATTGTAGGTGACAGTACCAAGGGTTTACAGGAAGATTGGAGGGGCAGTATTGAGGAAGTACCACACTATTAGAAGAGCAGTGGCTGAAGGTGACAGTGTCAAAAGCCTCAAAAAGTATTTCTTTGGCTGTCAAGTTGTTTGAGACTACCTGAAGTTGAGCAAGGCATTTTAAAAAAGCAAGTCTTTCTTTTATCTGCCATCTGGAAGGTTTTGCTCAAACCTGCTGTCATTTTTACCCTCAAAGTCACAAACAATCTTCTCTGATTGTGATGCATCATCATTCCTTAGCGTCTCTGCAGTTTTCAACAAGTTTTATCACACAAACCTCCTTGAATACTGATCCTGATATCCAGGTACAAGGGACTGTCCCCTTACGCATTCCATCATAGTCGCATATGTCAAGCAATTGCTTTATTTTGCTAGTTATTTCAGGAGACCCACCCCCATAGATCTATCACTCCTTAACTTGATGTTGCCCATTGTGTACATCATTCTTAGACATAGCTCAACTTCAACAGGGATGCTAACTTGATCTGTCCTCTGCTTCAAGATTGTCAGATTATTTTCCTACCAACCAGTCTTGCATAAATACCAGTTTCTAACTAAATCCTGGGAAAAGTAAAATTGTCTTCAGCCCACATCAATCTATACCCGGCTATCTGGTTCCAGCTACTGTTTCAGGCTGAAGTGGATGCAACATCAAATAACCAATAATGAGCCGTGTTTTAACATCCATATCCTCTTCAGCACAAAATAACTGATTTTTTTTATTCATTCATGGGATGAGGGTGTCACTGGCTATGCAACATTTACTGCCCTAGTTGCCCAGAGGGCAGTTGAGAGTCATCCACATTGCTGTGGGTCTGGAGTCATAGGCCAGACCAGGCAAGGATGGGCAGTTTTCTTCCCTAAAGGACATTAGTGAACCAGATGCGCTTTTCCTGACAATCGACACTGGAACCATCATTAGACTCTTAATTCCAGATATTTATTGAATTCAAATTTCACCATCTGCCGTGGCAGGATTCGAACCCCGGTCGCCAGAACATTATCTGGGTCTCTGGGTTAACAGTCCAGTGACAATACCACAAGGCCACTGCCTCCCCACAAAACAGTCACTGAACACAAGAAATGTGAGCAGAGTGGGCCATAATGTCCCTCCAGTCTGCTCTGCTATTTAATAAGATCATGGCTGATCACTTACATTAAATTTAATTTGTAAGAGCTCTTGTGGTGCAGTGGTAGTGTGTCTACCTCTGAACGAGAAGACCTGAGTTCAAGTCCCACCTGCTCCCGATGTGTGTAATAGCATCTGTGAATAGATTGATAAGAAAATATCTAAGGCCCTCAGACTAGCGTGACCTCCCTTCCATAACATCCTTGAAATAAAAACCTTTGAAAAAAATTCAACTTTTCATCCCTTCACCACAACCATGTCTCTAACTCAGCCCATCAGCTATTCAAACCCTTCCATGTCTTTGTCATCTCCACACTTGACCACTGCAATGCTCTTCCAGCCATCTTTCCTTCTTCAAATCTATCTTTGCTAGGTCTCATAGCCTGCCAACACCTACCCCCAAGCACTTCCAACTCCTCTGCTCTGCCAAATCTGGTCACTTGTGGATTCCCCACTCGCTACATGCCACCATTGGCAACAACCTAGATTTTTAAACAAGGCCCTGCTCCTTAAACTCTTCCATCTCCTTCTCCAATGTTAAGGACAACCCCCAACAATGGCTTGTCTTTTGATGTCTCTGTTCTAGTCTCTTTGCCTTTATGTTTGCATGTAGTCTCCTCCAATCTCTGTAAACTGCCTTGAACATAGGAAATTGTTACAAGCTACTAAATAAATAGAATATGTTATTGTTACTTTTTTAAACATATTAAATTCTCCCTGAGAACTAATCTTTCTTGCATGTGAATGGAACAGGTGGGCTGCACCTCAGAACCAAGTTTTAGAAGCATATCTTTAAGTGATTCCCAATGATGTTAGTATTGTTGAAATGAACATTCCAGAGGATCTATGGTCAAAAGTCTAAATTGTATAGTCAAGGATCTTAAACTGTTGCATTCATTACTAATATATTAGCAACTAGAAGCTCTCCATCTTCACTGCCCAAAACATATTCACAACATCAGGAAGTCAGACAAAATTCCAACACAAAAGTTTTTACAAATTGCTGTGTACCTGGCATCAAAAGCATGCTTATCAGAATTCAGCTTCACTGGGACACCTGGTTTGTATGGAAAATTCCTACATACCAAAGACAGTGCTCTACAGAAAGCTAAGTACGGGAACCCACATCACAGGATATCCCAAAATTGATACTGAAATAACATAAAAGTAAATCGCAAAGCTTGCAAGTTGGATACAAGATGTGGGAAAATAACTTTGGACAGACTCAAATACAGAAGGTTTTCATTAAGCAGTTTTGATATTTGAGGATGACAAAGTGTCTTCATGGCAAATGAACAAGACACAAAGCCAAAGTTTTCATCCATTTCCCCAACATTGACTTTACATGCAGTATTGTGCATCGAGACCTTACATAATACCACACATGGAACAACATCAAACTAGACTGTAAACTGTCATTTTGGCTCAACATTCATCCATCAAAGCAACAGGAGAATTCATCAGTTACATTCTATACACAAACAAAAAAACAACTTATGAATAATTCTTACTCCAGGTTTTGGAAGAGTTACCTAATCATGTCCAGACACCCATTAGTTTTCAATTGAAATTCTTGAGTTTTCTGAATTATTGTGCTGCAGCTTTTTAAAAACAGGTCTGGGTTATTCCGTAAGGAACTCCATCAAACAAAAATTTGCTCTTTATCACAATTTCATATCAAGACCATTTAATTGATGTTGGTTAGTGGGACCTTGGCTGCAGGGGAAGACCAGCATTTTAATATCACTGATGATTTCCAGCTTTAAAAACATTAGAAATTAAAATATGACAAACCGATTTGAGCCGGGACACCTTGCTGGACAAATTATCAGTCATTCGTTTGTTCTCTGCATCGAGCATTTGGTCCACTGCACCTGAACCGAGGCCTTGGAGAAACAAAGAAATAAAGATGTAAATGGCAAATATACAAATACAGCCTGTAGATGGAAGATGGATTTTGGAGTCTCAGCTTACCCTGATCCCTCAATGTTCAGCCCGAGTTAACAGTGATCCTTCAACCACAATTTAGTCAGTCATTTGTCTGTTTCTAGTGTCGTTGTGTGTTAACTGATTGCCAGGCTTGCCTGCAAACAGTCACCACCTTTCAAAGTAATTCACTGGTTGTAAAGCAATTTGGGATGTCCTGAGGATATTGAAGCTACATCTACGCTGGCATTTAATAGAATCATACAGGACAATCGGGCCAATGGTCATATTAGTCTCTTCTTCTCTTAACAGTGTAGGCTATATGTCATTGAGTGAATACATCACAAAATAAGTCATACAGGAACAGAAATAGATCATCCAGCCACTTGCCTAATGTCTGAATTTGTTGTAGTAATTGATAGAAATTGTTCACTGATTCATCAACAATTCCATTTTTGTTGGCTCATGCAGCTGCCAGGATTGCAGATGATGAACTAAACAGACCTCAACCTTTCTCGACTAAGAATTTTTGACCTATTGACCTTGGAATCAGTCCAAACAGTGCTGTCCAATTTGAGGACAAATTTGTTTAACTCTATTTTAGGATTGCTAAAGTTATCCAACATCATTGCTCTGTAGTTCTTGCACATCTCTCCAGTAATGCTAGTTAGGATTGAATCTGTTCATTCCCTGCTTTGGTGTAGGTGATTCAGTCTGCTTTTCCTCTATGTGGTAGCTATGTTTTACCAGCTTATCATTGCGACATGCTGGAAGTCTACACAAATAGCTCCCAGCATGTCAATTTCTGTCTCAAATCTTGCATCGGATTGCATCACTTATACAGTCAACAAACATGTCCTATGCCAGTGGTCTGTACCAGTATTCAAGCTCCATATGAACCTTTTCTCATTCTACATCATCTCACGCTATCAGCGTGTCCTCTTAAATTTGCTTGAAGTATGATAAACTACCTCATTATCCACCTATTATGTCACCATTAAAGGATACCTGAATACATACAGTTCCCAATCATTACTTAAAAAATACCCAAGTGAACCATTAGCAAAAATAGCGTTAAACAAGAGGATCTGGTAAATGATGCAGAAGCTAACAGTGATCATCAAAACAAGTCCATGCCAAAACATTAATCTCAGGTGAATTACATTTTTAAAGATACTGTAACTATGGAAAGCATTAGGGATTCTAGTAATGATGGCCAAGGGGATTTATCATTTTCTCAATTACAGGCATAAAGAGCATGATTGTTGCCTTGCTCATCTTAATTTTCACAACTGTCTGCTGCAATGTACATAACCTTCTTTTGTAGACATTTTTAATCAACTTATTAAGACATGTTGTGAAAAAGCTCTGGAGCAGGGGAGACTTGAACTTTGACCTTCTGGCTCGAAGTAGGAACATTACCAATGTGTCACAAGAGTCCAAATCTTATTGCTCCTGGTGTTCCCAGGTGGTCTCCTATCCAAGTACAAGCCAGGCCTGAGTCTGCTTAGTGTCCAAGATCAGATGAAATTGGGTGTTTTCAGACTAGTATGACCTTTAGGCCCTTCTGTATTGTACGATACGATTAAATACCAACTCTTGCATATAAGTTGCAAATAAACTTACATGGAAAGTGTTTACAGCAAGGAGACAATTGCCATATGCAAGTCAAGTCTGCATGAACCAAAATCTGCTCTCTTGGTGCGCACCGAGTGGGATACAGTGCAATGGGATTAACAACTGACCCACCACAGGGCAATGACCAACACATTGTCCAAAAAGTTGTTATGACTCCACCATCTGATTGTCTTCCTCCAGGATGGAATAACAGATTATATTACTACGAGAGCAATGAGCTCATAGAGGGTTATAAAATTGTGAGGGCCATGGATAGGATGAAAAGCCAAGGTCTTTTTCCCAGGGTAGGGGAATCCAAAACTGGAGAGCATAGGTTTAAGGTGACAAGGAAAGATATAAAAGGAGCCTGAGGGGCAACTTTTTCACATAGAGGGTGATGTGTATAGGGAACAAGCCGCTAGAGGTGGTGGTAGAGGCAGGTACAATAGGAAGGGTTTAAAGGGATATTGGCCAAATGTTAGCAAATGGGACTAGATCAGTTTAGGATATCTGGTCGGTGCAGTCGAGTTGGACCTAAGGGTCTGTTTCTGTGCTGTATAGCTATGACACTATTAGGAGGAAACTGCTGCAAATCACAAGTACGAATACCTCACAAAACAAATAGCCCACATGGAAAGGAGTATCTTCTTAAGAAAGTATTTTAATGCAGCTAGTGAAATTTCAAGTGATAGATGAGAATTTAGAATCACCCAGGACCAGGAGAGGTAGCCATTCACACCACTGTAGCCTTGTGTACCACATTCGGCCTTAGTTTTCTCCATAGTCCACTATGGAGAACAAGGGAAAAAAACCTAAATAACCAAGTTACAATTTACTATTCAATCTGTAAACTTCAGTTATATTGTACCCTTTTAACTAAATAGTTGACTTTAGCTTCTAAGTTCTTGGGAATTGCCAGATCAAACAATAAAGCCCCAGGGTCCACTCAGTTCACTATCTACACTGATACAGTCTCATGATCCAACCACAAAAGAGTTACTGACTAATCACAGTGATCAACCTTTATTAATGAGGTTACAGCAGACTAAACATGAGCAGAGGAAAACAGTAAGTTCAAAGGCATTGTTTCCTCCTAGGTTCTCTACATTCACCACATCATGTCTCAAATTACTCAGATTGATTATTCTTGCTATATTATAGGCAATGGCAAAATTGTATTATCGCTAGACTATTAATCCAGAGACCCAGTTAATAGTCTGGGGAGCTGGGTTCAAATCCTGCCATGGCAGATTGTGGAATTCAATTTTTTTTAAAAAAATCTGGCATTAAGAATCTATTGATGATTGTGAACCATTGCCAATTGTTCAAAAAAATCCATCTGGTTCACAGATGTCCATTAGGGAAGGAAACTGTCATCCTTACCGCTTCAGAACCACAACAATGTGATTGGCTCTTAACTACAGTTAACCTCTAGGCAATTAGGTATGGGCAATAAAAGCTGGCCTAGGCAATGACACCCACATCCCAAGACTGAATTTAAAAAAATAATTACTGAACATAAGAGGAGTTGATGGGATGGATACCAGGAGACACTAGAACCAGGGAACACAGTTTAAAAATAAGTGCCTTGTTGTTAAAACGAACACGAAGAACAACTTTTACCCTCAGATAGTCATTAGCTTGAGGAATTCTTTTCTCCAGGGTCACTGAATTTATTCAATCCTGCATTAGATAGACCTTGGATAGATAAAGGAGTTAAGGGTTATGAAGGGTCAGATAGAAAAGTGCACTTGAGACAACAATCAGATCAGCCGTGGTCTTGTTAAGTGAAAGTGGTCTACTCCTCCTAAGTCATAGAATCATACAAGATCATACAGAAAGAAGTTACTCGGTCTATCACGTCTGCGGTACCAAGAAAATGAACCACCCAGCCTCATCAGTATATGGTTCATAATTGTTCTCTAAAACCGCTGAGCCCCTTTGTGTATCAGTAAATGCTTAAGCAAGATACTGGCAGGTTAGCGTGTAACTGTACTACATTAATCCATGCCAACAAAAGACAGCTGTAGCATTTAAAGAAAATGCTGTACTACTAGTGTTACGCAATTGAGATTGACATTTAACAATTTCACATGGTCAATATTTCACTGACCACATTAAACGGAATAGCCCTAATTTGATGAAAACTATTAACCTTGCAACATCAAAATCACAAAGCAACACTATCGTTCAATTCAAGTTCAGAACATTGAGCCAAAGATACTATCACCTTCACCTTGCTGACATAAGAATGGTCACATTTACATCCTTGAATTATTACATGCAGGCAGCTAGCCCAGCATGCAATTCAAGGCTAGAATAGAGAGGAGAACAAAGGTGGAGCTTAGATGTTAAAATGAACAAAGCAGAGCCTGATGGCTCTAGGTGATGGTATGGGAGCTTCAAAGAAAAGTGAATTCAGGCAAAGGAAACAAAGATAAAAATATGATTATTCAGTTATCCCTGAATCTCTGAGGGATAGGGTAACATGATGCTACTTTCAGAGGCACATGGAACAGATGAATTTATTGCACAAATACAGCTCACCTCAACAGATAGCAATAAGTTCAAATGAAGAAATATTTTAGTCAAGAAAATTGCATTATATACACATGAAAAAACAAGTCTGCAAGATTTGTGTGTCAAGAATACAGGGAATAGAAAGGCAACTTATTAATTAAATGGAGTGAAACTTCAGAGTGCTTCCGTGCAGAGAGATCTGGGTGACCTCATGCTCGAATCACAGAAACTTAGTACATAGGTACAGCAGGTAATAAGGAAGGCAAGCGGAATTTTCCGCTTATTGCTAAAGGAAGAGCGTATAAAAGTGGGCAAGTGTTGCTGCAACTGTACGAAGCATTAGTGAGACAGCACCTGGAGTACTGCATACAGTTTTGGTCTGCTTACTTGAGGAGGGATGTAGTCACATTGGAGGCAGTTCAGATGAGGTTTACAAGAGATTAAGCAGTTTAGACATCAATTCTCTACAGGTTAGAAGAGTGAGAAGAGATCTAATTGAGGCATAGAAGATGCTAAAGGGACTGACAATGTTGGCATAGAAAGGATGTTTCCTCTTGTGCAGCAATCTAGAATGAGAGGTCACAGTTTTAGGATTAGGGTAGCAGATTTAAAACTGAGATGAGGAGAGATTACGTCTCTCAACGAGTTGTGAATCTGTGGAATTCACCACATCAGAGTGCACTGGATGCCAAGACACCTGAGTACATTTAAAGAGATACACAGATTTTTAATTAGTAGGGTTGAAGGGTTGAATGGAGAGCAGGCAGGCAAGTGGATGCTTGTATTAAATAGTGCAGCAGGCTCATGGGGTGGAATTTCCTGC